ACACCCCCTCCTCGTCTCCCCTGCCTGTCCTTCCTAAACAGCCTGTATCCCTCCATCCCAACACTCCAATCATAGGAGCCATCCCACCATGTCTCCGTGATGCCAGTAAGGTTGTAGCCCTGCAGGCATGCACACGTCTCTAACTCCTCTTGTTTATATTCCCCATTATGTGTGTTTACATAGAGGCATTTAAGTTGGGCCCCCGATGAGGCTGTCTTACTGGCTGGAGTTCCTTTGTGCTATGAAGGATTCACCCTGTAGAATTTTTTCTCATCTTAAAGTCAGGGATTTTGTCTGTGCTACTTTTCCTTAACAAACGGAGAAAGGGGAGCCCCCACTGAGTGTTTCAACCCAGTCATTACCTAGGAGCTGAGGTAGGTTTCATATAGTCCTGTGACAGTTCCTACTGCTTTTGAAAATGGAAAGAACCTGAATGTCTGGTTAAGAGCAGACACTTGATATTGAGATGGCTAAAGAGAGGTAGTAAATTCTACCTGAAGTGTGCAAATTAATGGGTATGCATTATTAGCAAATTGTTTGTTACTTATGTATTTCTCTTTCATCTGGACATAAGGCAGTTCTGGGGTTTTTTGCTTTGTTTTAATCGCTGTTGCTTTATGAAGTATCTGAAGACATGCATTTCTATGAAAGTCTCTCTATTTTTGATATATGAAGCATTTGTAACATAGGCATGTGCTTCAGTTCTGTGACACAGAAGTTCTTCAGGTCTACTTGTCCTTTTGGACCATTCTTTACTGCAGACTGCACATAATATCCCTAAAAATAAGTTAACCACTTAATTATGAATGTGTAGTAAGAAACAAAGAATGTCAATGAGAATTCAATTTTAAAGGTAACTGAGACAAGTTTTGCATATCAATTGACATGAAACATGCTATAACATACGCGTTAATAAACTGTTAATATTGAAATATAAGAGATGTTTCTTACCACTTTGAGATGAAGAGCAATTCTGATGAGGTAACAGCACAGGTGAGAATGGATCCTCCCAACTTTTTCTCACAGCTTAGCCCCACAGCTGTCACCTTTCAGGAAAAAATGGATTTTAGTTTACCCTACATTACATCCAGGACATATTTAAAAATCAAATTGATTTTCAAAGATATTGCTGCTCTTTGCTGTGTCATGTGCTGCTCTTTTTCTTTGACTTTTTCTGCAGTGAAGTCTCACTTCTGTATTTGCTGTGCTTTATTACCACATGTTTCTTGTCTTTCCTCCAGCCCACCTTTATGAGTCTTTGCCCTCACTAGCTGTTAGGTCTTTGTCTCTGTCCTTTACATCCAAAAAGTTGTAAGCACCACTGACCGGCCACAAACAATTCATGATTCATAAACATGGTTCCTGGCCCAGGCTGAGTGGTGGAGGAATATTTTCTAACAGGGATGGTGTATCTAAGCTGCTTGCAGACACCTCATTTCTAGTGCACAGATCCAGTGTGAGCTTTTAATGGCATACTGGTGTGGCTGTATGTATGGAGAGTTTTGAATCAAAAATTTATGCCGAAGGGGTCTGCGTGAAAAGTCTATTCTGTGTATCAATTATAAAAAGGACAATGAAACAATCTAATATGGATTAAAAGTAGTTAGTGTATTAACTACTATTAATAAAATGCAATGTATTTCTGTGGCAGTAGCACTGAGGGCATCGATCACGGGCTAAATCCTTCACTATACTAGAGATGGTCACTCCCTCAAATTGCAGACTAAGATAAAGGACAGCAGGTGGGTACGGTTAGGAGAAAACACAAAGAAAAGCAAGATGGTAGTGACAAGAGCAGGAGGCAGCAGTCTCTGCATATGCAGCCTGTTTGCAGGTTTCAGTGGTTGATGGAGCAGAGGTTTAAGGTTATATTGGAAGGGATGCTGGGAGATGCTGTAAGAGATAACACATGGCAGTAGCTGCCCAGTATCAGGGCATGTGGAGGAAAGTACAAGGTCCATGTTTGCCTTAACAGTGTATGCACAAGTCCGTGACTGGCTGTGGTCCCGCCTGCTCCTGGACTTCTGCCTAGTTTGCAAAATTGGCATATGGGAACTATTTCAAATGCTGGGAGTTAGACACTTAGGACCAGATTTCTGAGAGCGCATTAAGTCCCCTTTGCAGTTCAGGATCATTAGCACGGCTTTCA